GCACTAGGGTGTGATGAGGCTCGTGAGACGTATTTCTAGGATGCCTATTTGGTAGTCCGTCCCGCACTCATGTTATGCACTGAGATCGCGATGAGACTAATGAGCCGTATACACAGTTCAGGATACCTATAGGATAGTCCGTCGCACTGAGATAATTACTTGATAGCCTAAGTATGGCAGATGCCGATTTTGAATACGACCTATCATTGAACTATATGACTGAGATATGTTACTTTTGAAAGTATACAAAATTATGTGTTAGTATTTTATTCTATCTCTCCAGTGATAGTGAAAGATATTATAAATACGATGTGTTGATATCTTATTTCTTTTATTGTCCTTTTTACTTCTTAGTTGGGATCAATGATTAGAGATTCACAACTTGAGACTTATGGTATATATATGAGGGTTTCCTTGTTTGGATTATTTCGCTCGACGTACCAGTCTCGTGTTATGGATTTTTAATTGTTGGTTTTATTAGATTGTTTTTCTTCGTTCGATATTAATGTTTAGATATCTATAATTTGAGACTTATGGTATATACATGAGGGTTTCCTTGTTTGGATTATTTCGCTCGACGTACTACGTCTCGTGTTGTAGGTTTCTAAATATTAATCCCACTTAGATACGGGAAAAATAAATCTAGGTAGACTATGCTTAATAGATAGAACATTCACTCCATCTAGCAGCCCTTCCCCTGGGGGCGGATGGAGGTAATCTTGCTGTAGCGCTCTGACGCTCTTGTTGTTGTTTCTTTTTTTTAAATACCTTTTCAGGTAGCTCGGAGTTCCGGAGAGCCGCAGGGTGACGGAGTTCTGGTATAGTAGTCGTCGCGTATTTTTACTTGTAGAAACTCTACTGTAGTTTTAAAATTTTATTCAGACTTAGAGTTTATTTCCATTTTGTAAAGGCAATGAGCCTTAGTTCGACGTTCCGTTTTGATTCATATTGAGACATCGTATGTTATTGCAGACTCCAAATGTATTTCAGTTTATTTTCAGTTGAGACATGACCTTTATTTATGAGATATCATCTTCTTTATCATGTCTATTATTGTCGTTCTACTTCTTTGCCTGTTTTGTACCTACGCTTTTATTTGACCCCACTAGAGGATATTACTGTGATTGGAGAAACTTGTTGTTGCACAGTGTGGGTGCATGGCAGGTTTGACATCTCTGGGTTCACCTTGGACTGTAGCCATGAGTGAAAATAGGGGCGTCACATACTTGAACGCTCCTCTCACATACTATGATGATTTATGTTATATCGTAAAAGATGACAAAGCAAGGGGAAATCTTACTAGAGATATGACTGAGAAGCTTGGCTTTAGGCAACATATTCCAGTTGATGAGGATCATATAGATCTTAGTGAAAGTGAGGTTGATTTATCCTCTAACTCATATTTTGAGCCTGGGATACTAAGTGGGCTAAACATCAACATTTAGGCTCAAACTTTAAAGCCTTTAGTGGGGTAACTTCTACATCAAGTGATTCATCTCATTCTAAGAAGAAGAATAGCAAGTCTAAAGAGGATGATTCACTCATGCATGATTTCATTAAGTCAATGTCTTGGTCAATTTAAAATCAACACATTTTATATTGGAGTGGGAGCATGGCGAAGGCCCTATTATCACATGAGGCTGAGTTTTCTAAGGAGATGTTGGATAAAATTCTTGATTATTTATAAGAGCATGTATCAGAAGCTAGGAGGTTGATCATCAAAAGTAAAAAAAATGCTCAAAAGCTTTTTATAGAGAAGATCATCGAGGACCAAGGATTTGAGAACAATGAATGATGGTTGTCCAATATGCTATTTTGTGCGTTTTCCTTTTGGAAACTTGACGCATATATTACTTTATACACTTCGTGCATGTTTTACTACTTTGGGACATGGTTTGAGAACTTACAGAGATGTTGTTATTTTTGCATGCATTTTATAAATAAGTATGTGGTTTAACTTGTATGTTATTTGCACTTGATTCAGGTTTATATATCCATATATAATGATAGAAGGCGATCCCTAGCACAACGTAAGGTTGTTGCATTGTGACCTAGAGGTCATGGGTTTAAATTCTGGAAACAGCCTCTTCGCATGTGGGGGTAATGGTATGGCTATTTTATATGCAATTCTTCCTTTTAAGAGCATTTTAACTAATGGTGGGCTTGAGTTAATTATTAGGCAATGAAGATGGTCTTGTTATGAGAATGCAATCCATAATACTTTTGTAATGTTTAGATAGGACAATCCTGGATGTGAATGCAATCTATATTGTATTGTAATGATTAAGTGAAGCAATCCATCTGTGCGATTGTAATCTATATTGCAATTTTATTGTTAGATGAGGCAATCCATGCTTTCAATGTTGTACCTATATCCGAGCCCCTAATACAGGAAATCATATATGCATCTCTAATATTCCATTTCTTTAGTTATTTTATGTTTTGAGTTTATCTTTCTTGTTGCTTGCTGGTTTAAGCTAATTGTTGTATTGAGCTTGCTGCTTGCTAGTTGCTTGTCGTTGCCTGCTGGTTGCTTGCTTACGGGTTGTTGATTTGAGCTTGCTAGTTGTTGTTACTTTGTACAAATGGATATGATTCAATTTTAGAGGATGATTGTGCCTTGCTGGTTGATTCGATTTGAGCTGATATTGTTTCATTGGTCATATTGGTTACCGATTGCTTTTATGTGGATTTATATTGTTGGGCAATGATGATTAGTCAAATTTTGATAATGGAACCAACAATGTGATTTCATTGCTTATAGGAGGCATTCAATAGTGAGAATGCAATCTATATTGCATTTGCAATTTTTAGATGAGGCAACCCATTATTTAAATGCAATCTACAATGCAATTACATTATATAGGTGATACATTCTATGTTGATAAAATGATCATTATCTGAGCCTTATCCATTATCATTTATCTTGCATTTTGTTTTACATTATCTCAGGGTTTGTTTTGAATTTTTGAAATTGATAGACTAAAATTTTTATTTCAAATTTAATACATTTTTGCAAGTACAAGGCATGAAATAGAGAAATTTACAATAAAAATAAAAAAAGCATACACATTTTCTAAATTATAATTTGTCATTCTACAACTTTCAATTCTGCTTTTAATTTCCTAATTTTAAGTTTTTCCCTATCTTTAACCAATACTTCATTGCTAGTTAATTTTGCTGATACTCTTCATGTAATCTCCATCATCATGAGCCAATTGAAAGATATTCTATTTTTTCTTTGGATACTTAGCATAACCCCAATAATAAGAGCTAATATTTTTTTGCTATTTTTGCATTGCCTCAAGGGTGTTGGGAGTTTACAGTTGCACCATTTTTGTTTCTCTATAGTAACTACTGAATTCTTTTGTGTGAAGGCATCTTACATAGAAAAACAATACTCATGAAGATAGTGAAATTGAGAAATATTTATATTCATTGTAAAAATATGACCGTTTATGACCGTTTGTAGTTGTTGGAGTTTAAAATTTATTGGGTATGGTTATCCTAATTGCTATACAATTGTATTGTTCTCTTGTGGGAGGTAAGCACACTAAGGTAAGCATATTCACCTATCATGCCTTTAGAAATCCTAAATTTTATTTGGTTCAACAATAGATTATAAATTCTAAAATTTGTTATCCTATAATTTTGAGTTTGAATCAAACAAGATATTTGGTTTCGGTCAATTTATTTAGGGGGGCGGGACCCAGAACATGTAGTCGAGGTTGGCAACCCCGACTTTGTGTCACTTAGCCAATTTGCCACTTTCCCAACTTGGGGTTGGGGCACTCTCTGCTAAATGGTCGGGGTTGGGAACCCTGACCATTTTGAATTAGGGCCTGTTTGTTTGCACGGAAGTAATTGTGAAGTAGCTGAAGTAAAAGAAGTAAAAGAAGTAAAAGCTACTTCTGTTACTTCCTAGCAAAAAAATATGTTTGGTTCTCTGAAAAACTTACTTCCAATACTTCCCTAAATGCTTATGTGGTGCCTACATGTCATTCTTACTTCCAAAATATTTTTCCAATCCTTAATACCCAGAAGTAGCTCGGAAGTAATTAAATGCATATTAATTAGGACATAAATAATTTTTTATTAATATTTCCTTTATTAGTTACTTCTACAACTTTTCAATGATAAAATTACTTCCTAGTAATATTTCCAAATGTTATCCAAACAAAAAAAGTAAATGAAGATGAAGAAGTTCTACTTCTATTACTTCTAAAAATATATGAAACAAAAAAAAAAATGCTATTTCCACTACTTCCTACTTCATAGCTTTGAAAGTTACTTCTATAACCTACTTCTTACTTTTAATACTTTCATTATCCAAACGAGCCCTTAGGTGTTTCGAAATGGTCGGGGTTCCCAACCCGGACAAATTTAGCACACGCTAAATTAGTCGGGGTTTCGAACCCCGGCTTGTTAACTGCCAAATTACAACAGCGTAATGGGCGAGTTCCTAATTATGATCCCGATTTTTTTAAAATCGACCCACTTTCTGGCCACGAGGCTGATGTGGCGAGAAAGTGGGTCGATTTTGGTAATAAAATTTGAATTTGGTCGAATTTTGGGAATAAAATTAGGAATGGATTTATTTTAAAAATTTCTCCATTTTGTTATATTACTTTAAAAAATGCCTCAAATTGTCACCATTTTGAACTCCCGTTACAAGAAGCGGGAGCCGTAGAGCCCAAATGCACCAAAAACGGAAAAAGAAATGACGAGAAGAGGAGCCGAAGAGCTCACATCTGCCAGAAATGGGAATATAATATATAATATAATATATATATATATATATATATATATATATATATTATATATATAATCATATAATATATGTGTAGGTGTGGGGTGTGGGGCGTGGGAAGAAGAGAGATTTCAGGTTCTTCTGCTCGTGATCCTCCCCTGTTGCGCTTTTCTCTCGCAGCAATCAACAAAACCAAAAAAGAAACAACTTTCTTCTCTTTGTTATATATATCTTAATCTTAATATTAATAATTAATAACAGAGGAAAACATTTATTATTTTACATATGAAGACTTAAAGAGAGGACTAAATTTCTAGAGTCCCTCTCCTCTCCTTGTCTCTCCCTTGTGTTTTCAAGCCGAAGGAGAGGGAAGCAAGAGGGATTTCTATTTTCTTTCCTTTTCCCAGGTATTTATTGTTATTATTATTTTTTATTATTCAGTTTATCCCTCGTCATTATTTAAATTGATCCATTATATAATTTCCTCTGGATAATTGATTAAACTACTCGTTAACATGATATTGTTGTAATTGTTTAATTTTTTTTTCAATTGGATTTGAGTTTTGTAGTTTGGTCCATGTTTAGAGCTTAGCATTGGTGTTGATTTTTGGCATTTGCAGCAGATTGATTGAATTACCCTATACGCATGATATTGTTGAAAATGTGCGAAAAATCCTTATAGTACATAAACAAGGGTATGCTTATATTACTTGATTGATGGAGAATGAGGACATTTGTGATGGTCATACTCGGTAAATCGTCAACTAGAGAGCTTGTGTTTTGGAGATCAAGTGTCTCAATCTCCTCCTTAGGACAATGTTCCATCAAGCACCTGCAAATAAATGCTGAAAATTTTAGCCTGTAAGAGACTTGCAAATGTGTGCCATGAACATGGTCTTGAATAGGAGCTAGATCTTGCCTCGTTGATACTAATTGTGCGGCTTGGATCTCGATTAAATATAAAGCACCTGCCAATGCAGATAGCGTGTATCCCTTTTGTACCGTATTATTTATTTATAAGATTGTTTCTTTTCCTTTATACCTTAATCCCACATTGTTAAATCCAAAAAATTTCAGGACGTAGTCATTCAAGAAGCGCATGGCCTCGCTTGGAGATATTTGTCTGGCAGCAATAATCAACATTCTGTCTGCATTTGGATTCTTTATTGCATTTGCTCTACTACGACTTCAACCGGTTAATGATAGAGTATATTTTCCTAAATGGTACCTTAAAGGGATAAGAACCAACCCAGGACGTTCAGGAAATGTTGTAACCAAGTTTGTGAACTGTGATCTCAGAACATACCTTAGATTTTTGAGTTGGATGCCAGCAGCACTGAACATGCCGGAACCTGAATTAATTCACCATGCAGGCCTAGATTCTGCTGTGTATGTTCGCATCTATCTACTTGGGTAAGTTCTAGTGGTAAAAATGCTTTATTAGCATTTATACATATCTCTGTTGCCATCTATCAGAAGGATCCATATTCCGTATTATGCATTGTTTTTACTTTTATCCATGATTAAGCATGTATTGTTGTTCTTCCAAATTCCATGCTGACTCCAACTTTCTACAATGTACATGCTAATCAAGGGAAACCATGTTTCCTTTTTGCTTCCTGTTATCTGCTATCAAATAAAATTTATGGTTTAGAGTGTGTCAAAATTCACAACGCCCCCTTCCATGTTCAGAACTTTATCGTGGTTATTAATTGTTTTCCAGGATGTAACTTTGATACATTTCTAACAACTAACTGCTTGGAAGTTCAATTTTAGTTTCAAGGTATGATGAGTTACTTTTTTTCTTTTTCTCTCTTCTATGCAGGTTAAAATTATTTGTCCCCCTAACTGTCCTTACGTTTGTGGTCTTGCTGCCTGTTAATTGGACTGGTGGAGCTCTGGACCGTATTAACAATTTAACGTTCAATGACATTGACAAGCTTTCAATATCTAATATTGCACCTGGATCAAACAGGTTTGAGCACATACCCCTACTCATATTTCTATTTGAGAATATTATTTATGACATTTAAGTTAGTGATGTCTTTTATTGACATAAAAGTTTGTTTGTATATATTGGTCGGCAATAGTTGAGCCATTTAGTGACCTCAACATGGAATTAAACCCGAACTTATTTCTTAAATTGTTTTGATAATGGACATGCTTATGATATGCACTAGCAGCAATTTGTGACGATGCTGAAATTATTATCTCACTTAGCAACGATATTACAGGATACCTAAATGCACATGGATTCAGGTTGTGAAAAAAGATATGATAGTTGTTTATTTAATGGAGGGGGTGATCTTCAAAGAGATGAATAGAGAAAATTAGTATGAACTAACCTACCTCACCATTTTGAGCGCAAGTAGAAATCTGAGATGTGGAGAATAAGATGTAGGTGCAAGTAAGAGAGCGAGAGCTGCAAGACTTCAATATCTACTACATTGAACTTTGAGAACAACTTCTTAGTGGTGTTTGCAATACATTTTACTGATAGCATTTCTACCTATTGAAAACATATTTATTTTAGATGAAAATGTATAATGGTTGTGCCAAATGCTAACGATTGCAGTTATGTTTGTTTAGCTCATTGTGTTTATAATACAGTATTTCTGCCATTACCTTCAGGTTTTGGGCGCATATAGTAATTACATATGCCTTTACATTTTGGACTTTCCATGTGCTACATAAAGAGTATAAGAATATAGCATCTACGAGGCTGTGTTATCTTGCATCTGAAACCCGTCGTCCAGATCAATTTACTGTAAGTGATTTTTTTTTTTTTTTGCAATAGTGCTTCGGTATTTAATCTCAACTTTTGCACAAAGTTATTTAAATATCAAATTTAAGAAGTGACTTTACTTGGTGATCTTTATGTTAGAGTATAAAACTATAACCCTCAACTCTCACTACAACTTCAGAATTTTGGTTTGATGGTTAGGAACTTTAAGATGGTACCAGTGCACCATAAGTTTGAATCCCACTAGCTGAATCTAATGTGGATTTTACAAAAATAATACTGCTACGCGAGTCTAGGTTTCAGTCCATAAAAAGGTCATTCAACCTGCAGGGGCATGTTAGAATATAAAACAATCCTCAACTCTCATGACAACTTCAGAATTTTAGTGTAAAGGTTGAGGCCTTAAGACTTTCTAGTAACCTATCTGATTAGTTGGATTGCCTTTAATTTTGTGCATTTTCTTGCTATTATTTTTCTATCAATACACGGAGGTATATGCTCATGTAAAGTTCCCCTAGAAGGGAGTTTTCGAGGCCATTTGTTTTAACATTTCAGCTTGCTCCATTTTAAAGAAAAATCATGTTAGTACGTGATGGCTAAGAATAGAATTTTACTTGTCTTCTTGATGTTATTTGCAATGATCAAGGACACCTTATAAACTTGATCTAGATCAAGGGTTTTGAGAGGATCCAATGAAGATGTGAAATAGTAGCTAGATTATTTTCTTCATGCAAAGTAATTAGAAACTATGAGATCTCTCCTTTTTTTTAATGTTGTTCTTCTTAAGCTGGAAGAAATGTAGGGAAGGATAATACCCTATATTTGTTGTAGTTTTGTGCTAGAATGATATTTGGCTCATAGAACTTCCAAGATCCAATGAGCTCAAGGAAGAGTGGGAACTAGAATTTTTTTTCTTTGTTTCATTTGGTAATCCATGGCAAAAACTTTATAGTGAAGCATGATCAGACCAAAATAGTACTAGGATATGCGACATCCTAAGAAATCATCTCAACCATACTTTAATTTAGATCCCACCCTCCATAACCGAGCCTGGCCCAGATAAGCAAGTAGAAATTGTGTAGCCATTAATCTGTCGAATTAATATTCAACATTTTACGAATAAACAATAATCTAGAGATAAATAAGTAGACATGTTCATGTTAAGTTGGAAATATGGAATACCTTGAGGGCCTAAACGAATGCCTGACATTTAAAAAAATAACAAAAACCCGCAAAAGTAACAATCAAGCCGGTGGTAATAACGAGGAAGCGAGCCATTTTATCGGAGCATATGCCTCCAGTGTGAACGTGAGGAGATAATGGGCCACACCCACGTGAGGAGATAAGGATCTTGCTGTGATAACGGGAACGTGTGAGGAGATAGGGGGGCCACACCCGTGACCCTCTCCGCATGAGACAGCAGACCCACCCAATTAATCCTGCAGCTATATATATAACTTTTCGTGAGTTCCTAGGGTTTTGGTACAAGCGAGCAGAGGGGGAAAATTCGTGGGCGACGTGCAAGAAAAACGCAGAAGTTTTGGCGACTGTCCTTTGGGTTTTGGCGGGTGTTCTTTGGGTGTTGACGGATGTCCTTTTGTGAGAGATTCAAGAGATTGTTTGAGGGTTTAATTTGTGAGATCTTATGTGATTGTAAACCCTATTTGTACTCTTTTTTCTCTAATAGTAGATCTCCCCCTCCTTGCCTCGTGGACATAGGTAACTTGTCAAACTATGTAAAATTTATTATTTTGGTGTGATTTGTAATAATTTGTTTAGGTTCCCTCAACAAGTCAGTCCTAGAACTGATGAGAAGAAGAGTTTATATCCCACTTTGTTGAGTTATATTACTTTTGGTTCTTGTTTTCTTTGTGAAACAAGGATTTAGTTGAGATCTACTTTCTTGTTATGCACCAGAAGTATTGTCGAAATTTTTGTTACGCACAACAAATGGTATCAGAGCCCAGGTTTTGACTTGGGGCTTCTTTGAAGGATTCGCTGAAGGATTCTTATTTGAAGAGTTAGATCTACAACATGGGTAAAACAAGCACATCGAGATCGTTTCTTATGAAGGCGATACAGAGTATGAGCATCAATAATACAAAGATTAATGTTCCGAAGTTCGACGGCAAGATTAATTTTGGTTTGTGGAGATGCCAAGTGATGGATGCGTTGGACGCACAGAATTTGGAGGAGGCTCTTGAGTTATAAGAGAAACCTAATGATATGAAGGATAATGTTTGGAAGAAGTTGAATAGTAGGGCTTATAGAGTTATTCGGTCATGCTTGACGTCGGATCTTATTTTATGATATGATGAACGAGATGTCGGCGAAGAAATTATGAGAAACGTTCAATGAGAAGTACCTTACTAAGAGCATTGAGAATCGGCTTCACTTGAAGAAAATGTTTTACCAGTTCAAGATGAAGAGGGAAGTTTTCATTAGGGAGCATGTTAACAACTTTACAAAGCTGCTTTCGGATATGGTCAATATGGATATCATGGTTGAGGATAAAGACAATGCAATGTTACTTTTGTGTTCGTTACCCGAGGATGATTATGGTACTTTTGTTCTTACTAAATTACAATAAGGTGATCTCAGCGTTGGTGAATTATGAGCTGAAGAAGAGTGTTGATGAACCCTCTGAGAAGGCATCGGGAGATGCATTAGCAGTTCAAGGCTGTGGTCCAAACCGTAGTAGGAGGTCGCAGTCTAGAGGTGCACACTTTGCAGTTTATAAAAATCAGTATGCTTTTTGTAAAAAGAATGGACATTAGAAAGCCGAATGTCCAAAGTTAGATCGAACCGAGAAGAATAAGGGAAAAGTTGTTCAAGCTTCCGAGGTAAATGTTATTAAGTCTAGTGGTAACAATTCAGATTTGGATTCTTCAGGCTATTCGTTATCTGCACTACAGTCAGTTTGTGTTACCAACTCTATAGAGTGGATGTTAGATTCGGGTGCTTCTTACTATATTTCCCTATGAAGAATTAGTTCTTCAACTTTCAAGAGTTGAAAAGAGAGCATGTCGTGCTCATGGGTAATGAACATGCATGCTCTATTAGTGGTATTAGTACCGTTCGGGTTATGATGTGTGACGGGGTGATTCGGGAGTTGGATAAAGTGAGGTTCGTTCCGTAATTAAAGAAGAATATTATTTTATTTGGAGTTTTGAAGCCGGCAGGCTATCGGGTGACATTAGAGGATGCATTGTTGATTGTCACATTTGGGTCTATGATTGTGATGAAAGCGTCAAAAAGAGAAATTTATATCATTTAATTAGTAGCACGGTGATTGGTGATGAGCTGACGACATCTTTGGATTTGGCTAGAATGTGGTGTTTGTTGAGGCTATGATATTTGGTTATTGGTACCGTGTATTGTTTGTTGAGGAGTGCTTTAACCTGCAGTTTAAAGTCCTATGAACACATTGGTATGAGCGAGAAGATCTAGGTGAAGTTTAGCACTTTTATCCATCGATCGAGGGGTCTTCTAAGGGGTGTTCATTCAGGCATTTGGAGGCCTTAGGAGGTAATAGGTATGTAGTTTTCTATGTTGGTGACTATTCTAGACATTGGTGGGTTGTAACTAAGTCCCGTTAGTATGAAGTCCTAGAAGTCAATAACAGTTGGAGGAAGTGTGTTGGCAGAAAGGTAACATGTCATTCTGTTTTAGGTAGGGGTTCTTTTCTCCGTTTGTGCCGAGCTCATGACAGTTGGAGACACTTTATTAGAGGAAAAATATTAGGGCGACGAAATGAGATGGCAGATTTGGTGAGTTGCTCATTGCTGGAGGAGGATCGACGTTTGATGTCAAGCATTGGTTTTGGTGTTCGGGTTTCGACATATTTGGATCATCTTGTTCATAGGTTGCCGACTGCTGTGTTTAGAGATTTTGGATCTGGTAGAGCTGCTTCAGATTTTAGGTTACGTCGGATGTTTGGTTACCTAGCATTTGATCACATCAAGAATGCGAGATTTGATCTGATTACACGTTTAGGATTCAGAGGCTCATTTGGTTATCAGTTAAGGGACTCTAATTTTGTTCTGAGCAGGTATGTCATTTTTGACTCTCGGCATGTAAAGAGTGTTGATCAGATCGTTAGGATATCACAGCAGGTGGAGTGTGATGTCACTTCACGTTGGATGGAGATTCCTCCACGTTCTCCAGATCATATTGTATCGTTTGGGATTCCAGCTGAGGTGACACAGATTGGGAATTATATTGTTTTGGATGCAGATGATGAGTTGGTTGATTCGAGTATAACTGGTGGACATAGTTCAGATTTGATTATGGTCGTTGGTTCACCTCAGAAGGAGGTGTTTGGTTTGTTTCACTTTGGGGCCATTAGGAGAGCTATCAGCCACAGATTTGTTGGTAATGTTGGAGAAGGGTTCCGAACTCGTCTAGTTGATTGAGGTCGTTCGCGGCCATTTGATGAACTACGTAAAGGTTTGATTCCTTGGACAAGAGGATACGTAGGTAGTCTTTATGATGCAGCCAGTTGGATTAGTTGGTTTTGATGGGTGGAGATTGTTTGGACTCTCATTCGGGTTCCCGACTTGTTGTGTATTGAGTCTGTTGTCGTGAATTAACTTCACGATGTACTGGACACAATAAGTGAGACATTTGGTTGTTTTGGTGTCGGCTCAGTTTTGGAAAAAACTTTGTCGAGGTGGAGAATTGTGAACGTGAGGAGATAGTGGGCCACACCCACATGAGGAGATAAGGCTCTTGCTGTGATAACGGGGACGTGTGAGGAGATAGGGGGGCCACACCCGTGACCCTCTCCGCATGAGACAGCAGGCCCACCCGATTAATCCTGCAGCTATATATATAACTTTTCGTGAGTTCCTAGGGTTTTGGTGCAAGTGAGCAGAGGGGGAAAATTCGTGGGCGACATGCAAGAAAAACGCAGAAGTTTTGGCGGCTGTCCTTTGGGTTTTGGCGGCTGTTCTCTAGGTGTTGATGGCCGTCCTTTTGTGAGAGATTCAAGAGATTGTTTGAGGGTTTAATTTGTGAGATCT